GGGTATGGGGGCGGGGGCGGGGTGGGTATTGACATCCCCACCCCCGCCCCCGATTTTATCAATCGGGAAAAACCCGAACCCAATAAACACGGGTTTTCCCCGTCCAAATCGGGGCGGGTTCGGGCAGGTATCCACAGGAGCGGGTTAAATTGCCATGTCTAGCCTGTTCTAGTTACCATAGAAGATCCTCAAGTCTTTAGTATGAAATTGTCTCTTTAACAACCTTCTCTTTGGCAGTCTGGCATTTTCTTTCTACTTGAAACTCTATTTTTCATCTTCTACTCAAATGAGTCAAAACCATCAAAGTTTGATTAAATCATCCTAAACTTTGTTGCTCTCAAAATTCACTTACCAAAGTATCAAACTTCACCCAGAATAAAAATATTAAAAAAAATTCTCCTCTTGAAACCCTAATCTCACATCCAACTTCATTTTATGAAGTTTCCACTAAACAAAGTGGGGAGACTATAATTGCATGCAGTCTAAACTAGAAGGACCAAAAATGTAATCAAGTAAAAAAAGGTTTTAGTGTTGACTATTCATGTTGCTTAAAACTTTAAAACCCATTCAAACTGAGCTTGGGTAACCCTATCTAATCTCTTACTTGCTACCTGCTATAACAATCCATGATTGTCAAATCATGAGTAAAACAATACAAGTATGACAGCATTTTTTCCATTCATGTATGACTCAAAATTAAACATTGCTTAAAATGCATCTTCTATACAATAACATATGTTTCAATCATTCAAGAACTGAAATACCAACCAACTATCCCAAGCCACATTACTGATGTTAAAGAAATTAAACTGTGTAAGCTCTAAAAGTAAATGAAGATTCTCGTCCTATAGTCAACTCAAATTTTAGAGGTAAGTGAACCACATATGTTAAACTAAGGGAGGAAATTAAAAGAACTAAGGTTAGTGATGCAAAATCTGGACAAAGGGGTAATCTATGGAGTAGGTTGAACATATTCTGCTCTAGATCAGAAGATCCAAAATCCTTTTCATCCTTTATTCCCTTTCCCTTCCCTGTTTCCTAAACAAATATAGGGGAATTGAATCAATTTTCATTTGGGTTGCATGTTGGATCCTTTGTGACTCGGTGGGAATCATGGGTTCAAAATGGTTTGAATTGCACTAGAACTTCCGTTCAAGCTCTATCAAAAGGAGTCACCTAAGGACTCGACTCCCTGTATTGGTTTTAACCATGGTAGTAAGTATCGCACGATTTGCGATTCGTATCTTACGATACGATACGATTCCGAGACTCCGCGATTCGAATCGCACGTTGATTAGAACTAGACCTTATTATTTTCTTTTGATTACATAGGTCCAAGAAACTTGAATGCCAAGATTGGTAAGGGAAAATCAATAATATAAGATGAGGATGAAATTGAAGATAATGTAGAAGAAGAAGAACTTTTGATATTAGAAGATGAAGATGACTTGAGTGATGTAGATCTTGGGGTTGGGGATGATGAATGATCTTGGATAGGGGCATTTTGTATTTATTTTTTGAGGTTATATGACTGAATTTGTGTGCCAGAATTTGTGTGGCAGTAGCACCACTTGTTGCTGAGTTTATGCAGCAACAACACTAATATTTTTTTTGGGTGGCTATATTGCTGAATTAGAGTAGCAAACAGCCCCTGGTGGCTGGTATATGCATATATTTAGCAACAACAATGATTTTTTGGAGGCTTTGTTGTTGAACTGTGCAGTCATTTATTTTGGCTTTGAGACTGTTATTATTTGTATAATTGTATCTTTGTTTGTATTGAAGTTTATATGTTACTATATATTTATGTATGACTTCATTTTTTCTGTTTCTTTATGTTAAAATGTGCTTAGAGTGCTTTTATATGTCTTGTATGCATATATATACACTATGTTTTTATTGATCATGAATCTTACGATTCATGATATGATTCGATTCACGATTCAAAAAATAAGTTTTCCGATACATTATTTATATCTCGATTCAACTACCATGGTTTTAACATGTATATCTTTTGTTAGTGAGAACTAAGGTTATTATTGTAGAATTTAGATGTGAGAATCATCAGAAAACCCACAGAATACCTGATTTTTTTTCCTAGTTGAAAAAATATTGTATAGATTCTTCTTTTGATTTCTACTTTTAAATGTCACTGACAAAATAGCAAAAAGGAAATTGATATATGTTTTTCTTTTCTGTTTTTTCAATGTTTCTGTAATTTGCCCTACCAGAATGTTTTATGGACCTGGTGGACCCTATGCTCTATTTGCTGGCAAGGATGCTAGCAGAGCTTTAGCAAAGATGTCTTTTGAAGAGAAAGATCTAACTGGAGATATTTCTGGCCTTGGTCCATTTGAGCTTGAGGCCCTGCAAGACTGGGAATACAAGTTTATGGGCAAGTATGTAAAAGTTGGAACTGTCAAAGCGACAGTTCCAGTGACCAAACCAGAATCCACTGGTGAAGCATCAGAATCTACACCCCATGATGCTGAATCTTCCAAGCCTACTGAAGATGTTCCATCAGAATCAGCAGCCGTTAAATATGATGAAACTCCTTCAAAGGTTGATGCAGATAAAGAGGAATAATCGTTGGGTAAATAATTGTTGTCTTGCAAGCAATGGAAACAATTACACAGAAGCTTCTGAAATAGACTGATCCTTGCTGAATGTATTCAGCAAATGTGGGACGAGTTATTGGTGTAGGCCACCCCGTTTGCACTGAAACTTTTTCCAAGTTTTCTGTTTGATAAATAAGGAATTCTTAGTATTTAATTTCAGCTTTACTGAGTTTAAGCTTCTTGTATTCCATAAGATATGTATACTTAAGAGGGAACAAACCAAGTGACATTTGGGACCATATACTGATCCAAGTATTGAATGAATGCATTTGGTCTTATATGGTATAAGGTATAATCGTTTATTACGTTTGTGCTTTGGTTTTTCCTTCCTGGAATAATTCCATTGATATCCCATCTTTAATTCTTAATCCCATGAATTTTAGCAGGTAAATGATGTGATTTGATCGAACGATGTTATGTTGCTTTCTTCTTGTATCAGCGTTCCGATCCCTTAGAAGACCACAAGCTCGTACATTTTATTTGTTTGACAGAAACGAAACAAAGTGAAAGAAAATTAGGATAGACAGAAATGGAAAAGAGAGAAATGAATTAGAAATATGATGGAAATTTGGATTATTTAACTTGAAAGAAATAGAAAGGAAACTGAAAATAAATAATATTATGAGGTTTTTTTTAGTTTAGAGGAAGTAAATTATATTATATTAGAATAAAAGTAAAATTTGCTATCTTGTATACAACCTGTATTATGTCATAAACTATTGAAGATCAACGACTAATTTAGAGGTGGAACAAGAAACTATTCAAGCTCGTTTCTCTGTCAATTTTCACTATTTGACGTGATTTTAAGGGTTACCGTGGATCTCTTGTACAAAATCAAACATGTATTTAATCGATTGTAATTTCTATATCATAGATTGCTTTTAACAAATGATATAGTCATCTATTCTTCAAACTTGAGATCAACTCCACATTATAAATGCATTTATGGTTTGTTTAGATGAAAAATTTTATAAATTTAAGAAATTTTAAATTTTTTGTATTTGAATTACTTTGATTTCAATTTCTATCATTCTTAAAATATTTTGTTTGGATACGTCAATTTAAATTTTTTAAATTTTAAAATGTTGGGTTGGATATGATAATTTGATTCTACCATGATAAAATTAATTTTAAAAATATATTTATATGTTAAAATTTTTAAATTAAATTTTATAAAAATAAATATTAGCTAATTTTTAAATATTTAATAATTTTAAAAATTAATATTAGATAATATTTAATAATTTTAAAAATATTTTTAAATATTTAATAATTAAAAACATGAAAAATAAGAGATAAAATAAAATATATAAGTGAAATAAGAAAAAAAATATATTAAAATTTTACTATTTCAAAAAATTTTATAAATACTTAAATTTTAAATTCTTTATAAATTTTTTATCCAAAAATGATATTTCATTTCAAAAGATTTAAAATTCTTTAAATAAATAAATTATTTTATTTAAATTCTTTATCTAAATAAACTATTACAAATTTTGAATCCTCGTATTCATCCTGGATTAATCGTTTATTTGTCAATAAATTTATATTCACGATGTTCCACTATTTTACGTAGAACATGATGTTCATTGCAATTGTGTCACTGTTCATGAGCTTCCCATTGTCAGACTATGAGTACGACTTCAATAATTTTTCTAAAAAAATCATGGGAATATCAGCAGATGGCATGTCTCAATGCGCAGAATTTGTGATATAGTATAAAAGCATCTACTTTAAATGGGTCCCAAACACCATAGTATGAAACCATCGACTCATTTCAAGTTCCAAGTATCGGAGTTTTAGGAAGAACTAATTTAAAAAAAAAAGTTTCTTGTCACTTACTCCAATGACAATTTCTTGTAAATTCTATCTCTTATTTTTAAGATGCACCTTAAATAACTCCTATTAAAATTGCTCTAACAAAATATATTATAACAAGATATTTTCATGTCAACAAAAATTAGTTGGATTGATAAGAAATGAACTGATATATCTAGAAAGGTGAGTTGAATTAACATGTAAATACTCTTGTAACTATTCATGAAATCATGAAACTTGTCATGACTCCAATAAATCTCTCGATCTCTTCAGCTAAACTTTTTTATTTTTTTATTTTACATGAAAAGAAAAATAAATATTTTCATGGTGGATATTATGACCCCTAGCTCCATTAAATAGGTTGTATATAACCTGTCTCGTTGCGCAGAATTTGTGCGACTCTTTTATAAGAATAAACATTTTTCGTCACCTAAAAGGAGATTAAATAAGGTCTACTATATTAGCAAGGAAGTGAGGGTGAAAAAGAAAACCATGACATATTGTGTGGCAATTGCATAATGCCACGTTGAGGGAAAAACATCAAATATAAAGCAAAACCAAACAAGGTCTCTTTTTATCTCAAATAATTAAATATATCATTTTATATTCATCAACTAGCTCATAAACTAACCTTACCAAATATCTTTTATTCAAATATTCAATTTATAAGTTTTTAATCTTTTTTATTTTCTAATTTATAAATCTTTAACTAAATTAAAAGATTTCAATTTGCTTATAAATTAGCTTTATCAAACACACTTTTAATGATATTCTTCACTGACTCAATCTTTATACTTATTTTTTTTTAAGTTACATCAACTTTTCTCATAAAGGTATATTGTGTAATTTGTATCTTGAGTAAGATGAATTTCAATGTAATATATTTCAAATAATTAAGAAGTGTGGGTACAAAGATGAGAGAGAGAGAGTAGTAAAGGGAATTAGAGTAATCTCATTATTCTTTTAGTTTATTTATTTATGAACCAAAATAGATAAGATAATTTAAATATACTTAAATAAATAATTTAATTAAAAATTTACTTATTAAATTCTTATCATATGACAATTTATGCAATAAATTTTATTAAATAAACTAAAACTACTTTATTTCATTATTGTTCATAAAAAAAAAACTTAAAATAGTTTATGAGGATTTAAATTGTTTTTATAAATCTAAATAATCTCTTCTTTTTTTTTTTTTTTTTCTTTTCATTTGATCACATGTTATCTTTTATATTCCAACCACCAATCTAAGTTGGACAGCAGTACAATGCTAACAAACGAAAAGGGTGTGCCTTTGTCACATCCATTATCCTTTCATGTTTACAATTACAATATCTCGAACAACGATTGGACTGTCTTCCTTGTCTTCATCACACGGACACAACGAATAACAATTTCTTACCTAATACATGATTTGTGCATATTAAGATAATAAAAACTGATACATCAATATTATTGATCAAATAATACAAATTGTGAGACCCCGTACGGAAAACTCCTTTTTGCTCTCAACCTTCACTCTCTTCTTCTCACTCCATCTTCCTTTCTCTTTTTCCCCAATATTCTCTACTCACTTGGCTGATTTGTTGATTTCGTTTCTTTGGGATTTGAAGGTGCTGATCCAGAGTAGACCAAGGCTAGCAAATTTTCGGAGTTCTCTCTCTCTTGTTCTTCCGTGATCGTTCAAGCTCTCTTTCGTCCCTCTCTTTCGTTCTTCTTGTCCCTAAGCTCCAATTTATGAATTCAAGGTAAGGGAAGTTAGTATTTTGGCTGCGTTTTT